TAATACCAGGCATACCTGACTTGATATGACTACTTCTTCAAGTTATATTACTTACAATACCTTTATACAAGTTTCATCATGTGCCGTATCTGTTTTGTAAGTTTTATCACTTGCAGTATCTACTTTTAAAGCTTCATTACAAGTAATATCATAAGTTGTTACATATTACACTTCAAAAAAAAATCAACTCTCCTAGTCCAACATCAGCGGAAGCTGATATTTTTTCATGTTGTAGTCAACAGCTTCAGTATCAGTATTACCTTTATTCCAGTAAGAAATTGTGCAAACTTTGTCTTGTTTTGTTTTATCAAGTTTTTCTTCTCTACCATCATACATGACATACTTCGAATACTTACTATTGTACCATTCATGGCAAAGTTTTTGCCCAACAATTCTATCTGACATTACATTATCTTAGTCATGACGTTGTTTGATAGACAATGTATTTAAACACTTTATTTCATTGTAAAAGAGTTCAAGCAACTGTTATTTTAACTTTCTTTTGTCTTTTTCATCCATTTTTTGGCATTTGCATACATGTTTTTTTGAAATATCTGCTCATATATCATTATGCTTCATTTGATTTATCATCTCTTTTTATGGGTTTCTGAATAGATCACATAACTATATTTTTATGGGTTTCTGAATAGACCACATAACTATATTTTCTCTAGATAATTGATCTATAATTTCTAAGTAATTTAATTTGTATGAAACATAACAAACTGTTGCATTAGGTGATCTTTCTTCAGCCTCACTAAACATTCCCATTAACTCTTCACTATTTATATCGTGCTGCCTTGCACATGCTACTTCCTCCTTGAGAGTCTGGTTAATAGAAAGTGAGAAATATCTCTTACATTGATGAGTTATGACATCTCCCACTGCAATAAGACAAGCAAAAGTCATATTGATAAAGTGTTCATCAATCAAACAAAACATTTTTTATTGGATCTAAAATATTTGGTTCAAGGTCATTTTAAAAAGTTAACCTGGATTTGATTTAGAATCTGCAATTTTTAGTAAAATATTTTTTAATACCAGGATTCCACTATAATGGTCAAAATTTGCCTCCTCAACAGTCACACAAAATTTTGTCATCCAGGCTGGAAACTGGATGACAAAGTTTTATGTGACTTTGAGGAGGTGGTTTTCCAAATAATGCAAGCACACATTTTTGCTTTAGAGCTGTTTTGTTACAAAATACTGCTCTAAGAACTTTTTGTATAGTTCTGCATATTACTGTTCCAATGGTTAAAAAATGCTCAATCTCATTAAATGTTTTATAAAAATAAAACAAGTATGAAAATAAATATGAAGACGATTTCCTCGATACCTAGGAATGATACCTTGTGGTAGTTTTTGATCATCTAAAAACTAACGAATCTTTTTGAATCACCTTTGCCATGTTTAAACCTCAACTTGTTCATAGCCAAAACTATTTTAAATGCCATAAATCATACCCAGCCATGAGGTAGCAATTATATCAAGAGCGTGTAATAGGCAGTTTAGCTCATTTAAACTTTCCCCTTAAATGTCACACAGTTTGCTTATGGTAAGATGGTTAATTGCAACTTTGGCTGACATTGCGTTTGATATATTTGAGATGATTGATTGATCACTATCATTAAAAGATGCTAAATGAAAATCTAAATAAAAGTTAGATGATCAACTGCTTTACATATATGCAAGCAAATATTCATAACTAGCTATAAGCATTTTATTTGCCTTAATATTATGTACAACTTTAACTTATTTTAGCTTTTAAAGTTCTGAAATTTTCATTGCTTTTTTTTAAGCTTTAAGATTGCATATTATCTTACTGTAATAATATGTTTGCAAATTTTGTTTAAGATCTCTAAGTTCAGCTCTTAAAACTTTAACAATTTGTTTCTTTTATGTAATTTTCGTCTCAGTACTTTCAACTTGTATGCCATGCTTTTTAATTTTGCCGTCACTATTACTAATTTATTTCAATACTTGCTGGATGTAACAGCAAGCTGAGAAGTTAAATAGGACAATCTGGTATACAAACCTTTTTTTTCTAGGGCTTATTTCTCCTCTTGATTCATGCCTATCCATTGTTAACAGAATGTTTGGAAAATAAAGGCTTGTGATTTAGTGGTGATAAATTACTTATGTGCTCAAGTGGTGAATTATCTAAACTACTTAAAACAGTAGTAAGAGAACTACTTTGAGGGACATGATGATAGAAAGATGGGCAAGACTTGTGCAATGCATATACAGGGTTCATTACAAAATTCCTTAAAACGACAACTATCCCTTGTAAAGTTGCAAAACCAACTTTTGCATCTTTTCAAAACCCTAAAGAAATGTGGTTTACAAATGTTTAAACTAAATAATAGTTATAACAAATGACTTGACACTGTTAATGAATAAAAAAGATACATATCTATTTTTACAACAACTGCAAGTTTTGGCAGATAAAAAGAAGTGTGTATTTAAATACTCTTTAACTGTACTAAGAACAAAAATTAAAGTTGCTTATTGTGCCTATTGCCGGGGCACAAAAAGCAACTTTATTTACAAAAAAAAAATGTAAAGAAAGTCTTGAATAATTACCGAATAATGATATAACATTAAATTATAAACAATATTATACTTTTATTATTAAAAACATTTTTAATAATACTGTATTATTGCGTAATTAAAAAATACTATTTATACACACAGACAAAAATGCCAATGTAAACTGACATCATAAAACATGTGATAATATAAAGAGTTTTTAAAATACCATCATACCTATAGCTAGAATTATAGTAATCAACGCTTATGTTTTTAATTTCAATGAAACCAATAAAATTTTAGAAACTATAAACAAGTCACACTAAAATAAATAGTAATTTTCACTTTTAAAATAAAATAAACTAGTAAAAATATACAAACTAATATTAATTAATATAAAAAATCTAATAAACTACTGAAAAAATAAGAAAAAGAAAAAAACATCTTATTGGCAGTCTATATCTAATTGTATTAATATATATATATATATATATATATATATATATATATATATATATATATATATATATATATATATATATATATATATATATATATATACATGTATATATATATATATATATATATATATATTATTATTATTATTATATATATATATATATATATATATATATATATATATATATATATTAATTATTATATATGAAATATATATATATATATATATATTTTTTTGCAGTAATTTATTAGATTTTTTATATTATTTTATTTTTTATATTATTTTTATATTTATTTTATTTAAAAAAAAAAACTTATATATATATATATATATATATATATATATATATATATATATATATATATATACATGTTATATATATATATATATATATATATATATATATATATATATATATATATATAATATAAACATATATACATATATATATATATATATATATATATATATATATATACATGTATATATATATATATATATATATATATATATATATATATATACATATATACATATATATATATATATATATATATATATATATATATATATATATATATATATATATATATATATATATATATATATATTATATATATATATATACATATATATATATATATATATATATATATATATATATATATATATATATATATATATATGTATATATATATATATATATATATATATATATATATATATATATATATATATATATATATATATATATATATATATATATATATATATATATTATACATATAACATAAATAATTACTAAACTAACCAAATAAAATTCAACTTGTTTGTACCCCTCTTACCACCCACTTACGGAAATCAGAAAAACAGAAATGAGGTACCAAAACTGCTCACTTTTATAGACTATCTGCTCAATAATATTTTTCAATGAAATTTGGTAGGTAGATAAAAAATATATGTAAAAAACTATCTGGGTAGGTTTGCAAACTATCTGAGCATTTCTTTGACAATAATTTAATGTGAGAACAACAACCAAGTTTTTAATACAAATAAAAGCAATACAAAAATTGCCAACCACACATAAATGTTATATATTAATCAAGTTTAACTATAATTAGTCACTTTTTTACTTGAAAATGCTCAAAAAATTTCTTTGTATTTGTCTGAATTATCACCTCCCCCTTAGAAAATCACTAAACCTGCGCCTGAATTATTAACTCCCCCATGTAAATCAGTCAGTATAAGATGGTGTGATTATGTTATTTAGTTAGGAAGATAGAAATTTTACATCTGTAAAGTAATTAGTTATTTATTTACTTAAAAATGCTGTAAAAGGTTTTTTATATCTGTCTGAATTATCACCTCCCCCCTTAGTCAATCACTTTATATGAGATGGTGCAATAATAGTATTGTTTTATAATGATAGAAATTGTTTATTTGTAAATTAATTAGTTACTTTTTTACTTAAAAATGCTCAAAAAATTTCTTTGTATTTGTCTGAATTATCACCTCCCCCTTTTAAAATCACTAAACCTGCGCCTTAATTATTAACTCCCCCATGTAAATCAGTCAGTATAAGATGGTTTATTTTGTGACATTGTATTTAAAAATTTATTTTTTGTTCGTTTTTAGTGACTCATCATGTTATAGTGTGATATTTTCTGAATGACTTTATGTGATAGTGTGAACGTTTTCTGACTGGCAGAAGGTAAGTTTTTCAGTTAGCAATTTACACTTTAAGTTAAAGCTCAACTTTATCATATTGTTTATTCACTATTGGAAAACCACCTTTATAATCATTTGAAGTTACGGAATACTTATATATAGGTTTATTAGTTTTAAGTATTTTATTTATTATAAAGTTTATTATATATATATATATATATATATATATATATATATATATATATATATATATATATATATATATATGTATGTATGTAATGTATGTATGTATATATTGAAGTTCTTCGTTTATCTGTTTGTTAGCTAGAAACAATGATGAAAAAAATCTGTTTTTCTAATTTCTTTTTTTTTTTGTAGATGATGTCAACGTTACATATTTGAGCAATAATGATACTTCAGTAAAAAGAACACAAAGTAGTTAACACTTTACGCCGAATAACATGCAATTTTTTAAATTCTTTTCGTTTTATACTTAAAAAACAAGGCAAGTTATATTAATTTTAAAATTTAATAGATTATTTTATTTTATAGAGTTTGACGATTCAGAAGTAAGCGACAGCGGTAAAAGCTGTATTATTGAAAACAGTGAAGGTATATTTTATATGACGTGCAACTGAAGTGAGCAAAATTTTGAATTTTTAGGTGTTTTTCAAATCAAAATTGTTTATTAAATATACTATTAGTAAAAGTAGAAAAAAAAAATTCATATTATATGCAGGATTTGAAATAATCGAATGCCTAAAAAATCTTAAACCGATAAAAGCAATAATGGGTATATTTAAAGAATTGGGAGACAGCGAAATATACGACTACTCATTACAAGAAACTCTAGTTGATTGTTTGAGTGATGAAACAGTTTACGTTTATCTGAGTTTACTTGCTAGTAATCAAGATAAGGTAAGATTTATGAAAAATTACGCAATTATGTTATGAAAATATTTTAATGTAATGTAACATACATTATTTAAAACTAAAATTCTGAATTTTAAGCCAGTTTACAATACAATATTTCTTATAAAACATGTAAATTTAAAAACTATTTTTATAAATAAAACATTATAACATGATTTACAATGCTAAAATTCACAATTCTTTTTTTCATGTAAGAACAAAATTGAAGTACTAGCACCAGCCGGATTACTATCACAAGAAGTGTTACCAAATAAAACAGCTTTGATTCAAAGGAAAAATTTGGTATTAAACATTTTCACTGAAAAAAAAAAATTGAATGTTATTAAAATATTTAAAGCATTAATTAAAAAGTAAATATAGATAGATAAGCGTAACAAGGCGAATAGTTAGGGAGTCGCCTTTTTTCCTTTAATCTTACACATGAAGAGATTCATGCGCATATGGCCGTTGTAAGGTCGATGCAAGCATAAAAAAAACATTAAATATTAAGGATAAAAGATCCTTCACATAATCGCCTGGTTATGCCACTAAATACTTATTCATAACACATGCGGTATTTAAATAAAAATCTTATTTATATGCAGGATGAGTTGTTAAAACTAGATATTCTTATATGCTGTGTTGTTGCAAAACATCATTGGACGCTTACAGTGAGTGAACTCTTTTATATTTAATGATCTATATAATAAGCAATATATATCTAAGTATTTCAAAGAATAAAAATAATATAAATAATATTTACAAACATAAATATTTCATAATAAAAAAATAATACAAACTTTTTTAAAAAAATTATTCAATTGGAAAGAAACTAGGATTAAAATGTTTAAATTGTTATTTCTTCTAGATAATCAAACCAAAGGAAAAGAGCTTTTATTTACATCAATCCTCTTGGCGAAATCTTATCTTCAATAAAAAAAGAAGAAATAAAATGGAAGTATGAAATTATTCAATAAGCAATGCATGACTAAAATAGTATAAAACCTTAATACATAATGATTATTTAGATAAAGAAACTATTTCTTTTTTTTCAATTTCAGTAACTATTTGAAACAAAGGTATGGAATTTCAGAAACATTTAAAATAATGACATTGCCACATGCACTGCAAAGAGACAGCATATCGTGTGGAGTCTTTTGTCTTAAAGTAATGTGAAATACTTTTTATTTTTTCACAATTTTTATAAAAGATATATAGTTCCGTTATTTTTTATTCATCATAAAGATAGCAGCAAATATCTTCAAAGTCTAATCAAAAGCTGCATCAGTTATTTTTTATAATGAATCTGGATAGTGATGCAATAATAAGACTAAACCCAAATAATATTGATGCAAATGAGCAGTGCTCATTAACGGTATACCAATTGAGCTATCCAGTAACTAAATAAATACAGCTCTATTACCATATATGCCTACCAACAAATTTTTAATTCGAGTGTTCATTGTTTAGAGGCAACTTCAGACTCTTGTTATCTCCTCCTCCCCCCCTCCCTATCATCCACTTTGAAAAATTATCACAAATTTTTTAGGTAGCTCAACCTAAGCCGAGTTTAATAAAACATTCGTTATAGTTAAGAGTTCTAAATTAAAATTTTTTAGTTTGCTAAAAACTTTATGAATGGAGAAGAGTTGGCAATGTCCTTTCCTTTAGAAGAAGTAGTTCTATATCGAAACAAGGTGGTGCACTATCTTATAGATAGAGGAGGTTTGTTATTTATTAAATTGTTTAATAAAAATATAAATATACCTGTAAAAAAATAACAGTTGACAAAATTTAAACTCAGGTCAACATAATTGGAAAGATGTTTTGTGTCGCATATGTGGTAATGCAAAAGGACCGAAAAAATATAAAAAGCAAATAATAGATAAATGAGTATAAGATTTGTATTATCTTTAAATCTCATTTTATTTCTAAATTTAAATAATAATCATGAAACTATATATATGATTTATTTATAGATTAAGTGTGATAAATGCTTACCAAGTCACATGGACTGCATTCCAAATGTAACAGAAAGCAGCAAATCGTTTACCTGCACAAACCTTTCTCAAAACAATCAATTAAATTAAATAATAACAGTTAAAATAAAGATCCATAATTAAAACATTAAATAACAATTTTTTAAAGTAATTTTTAATAAAATTATTTACAATATTGTTTTAATATTTTTATATAAACTTTATTTTGATTCTATCTATCAAGAATTTTGATATATATATATATATATATATATATATATATATATATATATATATATATATATATATATATATATATATATATATATACATACAGCATATTTACAAATATAACACATACACACCACATACAAACACACGCACATATATATAAATGTTAATTATTGTATAAAGAGTGTATAAAAAAATTATAGTCTTTATACCAATGTGGTGTATTCATAATAAACTAGTCCTTTTTTTCCTCTGTCAGTGTTTACACATAAATGTGGTTCAATCTCTTCTATAAAACAAATTCACAAAGAAATGAAATCAAAGTTAAAATTAAAACCTTCTATGCAAAAAAGTTGAATAATAAATAAACAAAGAAAAAAATTATTAACACAATTAATTCATACTTGCGTGCATTACCATTAGGACCGAAATAATATTAGCTTCTAAAGATATAACACTAAACTTACCTTTTTAGCACCAGACTGACAAGGTTGGGCAAAAAGAAAACTGAATATCATGAAACAATTAATAAACTTTATAATAAATAAAATACTTAAAACTAATAAACCTATATATAAGTATTCCGTAACTTCAAATGATTATAAAGGTGGTTTTCCAATAGTGAATAAACAATATGATAAAGTTGAGCTTTAACTTAAAGTGTAAATTGCTAACTGAAAAACTTACCTTCTGCCAGTCAGAAAACGTTCACACTATCACATAAAGTCATTCAGAAAATATCACACTATAACATGATGAGTCACTAAAAACGAACAAAAAATAAATTTTTAAATACAATGTCACAAAATAAACCATCTTATACTGACTGATTTACATGGGGGAGTTAATAATTAAGGCGCAGGTTTAGTGATTTTAAAAGGGGGAGGTGATAATTCAGACAAATACAAAGAAATTTTTTGAGCATTTTTAAGTAAAAAAGTGACTAATTAATTTACAAATAAACAATTTCTATCATTATAAAACAATACTATTATTGCACCATCTCATATAAAGTGATTGACTAAGGGGGGAGGTGATAATTCAGACAGATATAAAAAACCTTTTACAGCATTTTTAAGTAAATAAATAACTAATTACTTTATAGATGTAAAATTTCTATCTTCCTAACTAAATAACATAATCACACCATCTTATACTGACTGATTTACATGGGGGAGTTAATAATTCAGGCGCAGGTTTAGTGATTTTCTAAGGGGGAGGTGATAATTCAGACAAATACAAAGAAATTTTTTGAGCATTTTCAAGTAAAAAAGTGACTAATTAATTTACAAATAAACAATTTCTATCACTATAAAACAATACCATTATTGCACTATCTCATATGGAGTGATTGACTAAGGGGGGAGGTGATAATTCAGACAGATATAAAAATATTTGTAGAGTATTTTCATGTAAATATATGACTAATTATTGACCGTTGTAAAATTTCTTTCTTTCTCACTAAATAACATAATCACACCGTCTTATATTGACTGATTTACAAGGGGGAGGCAATAATTCAGGTGAAGGTTTTGTGATTTCCAAAGGGGGAGGTGATAATTCAGACAGATATAAAGATTTTGAGCATTTTCAAGTAAAAAAGTGACTAATTAATTTACAGATGCACAATTTCTATCATTATCAAACAATACCAATATCGTATCATCTCATATCAAGTTATTTACTAAGTCTTAGCAAGCCTGAGTCTAAGGGGGAGGTAATAATTTAATATTTTTATGCAAGTATAATAATTATAAGTATAATAAGTAAACTAATTATATTACAATTGTATAATATCTATTACTATCAACCTTTTTTATATAACCTTGCTTATATTACCTTTCTAAAAAATGGAATTGGAACATCATAAAAGACAAAGTAAACTTTATTTCTCGAATTCTTGTCCTCGAAGCGTCATTTTCGTTGTTTATGTTTATGTTAATTATGCTATGTTCGGACGTTTTAGGAACACATCTAACAGCTATAACCAGAAAGCGCAACCTCGTTTTGAGCTTTCAATAGGGGGAGGTGATAATTCAGGCGGAGGTAATAATCTATCACAGCAATCACTGTGTTTTCGGTATTCTGGAGCTTTCCAATATGGCAGCCGTACAAAAAATTGGCTTCACTTTTGATAATAGATATGCGCTATCTGTAGTATGAGATTATTACTCCCGCTTTTTTTTACTCCCCAGTAAAAACCGCTTATTAAATTTTTACTCCCCAGTAAAAATCTTATATTAAATTTTTACTCCCACTATGAGATTTTTACTCCCATACGCGGCAAAATGTGTTTTGCGACTTTGTTGTATTTTGAATTTTTATTTTTAATGTTTGAAAGACAGTTGTTTTTTAAATAGCAATAAAAAAACGATTCCGTTTAATATGAACATTATTTTAAAATATTGTAGTGTTTAAATGAAAAAACAAGAGCCGATCCAGATCATGTAGTAAGGGGTCATCAATAGAAGACGTCGTCCAAATAGGGTTGGAGGAGGGGTTTGAGATAAAAAGGATGAGAGAAGGGAGGTGGGGAGGTTTTTAGAAAAGGACTTCACTTTATAGATTTTTTTAAATGTGTTTTTATGAAGGTAATGTTAAAGAAAATTTTCACATTTATTTTTGAAAGGTGTAGCAGCAGATTCAAACACCATTGCGAAATGAAATAAATTTTTTTGTGTTTGAAAATAGGGGAGGGGCAATTTTCAGATAACGATTTGTAAGACAATATGTAATGTAAAACAATTTTAAATTTGCACCACGTAATTTTATTAAAATCTTTTTTTTTATTTAGACAGCCTAACTATATTACTTCCGTTTTCAAACAAATTGCTGTTTTAAATATATAAACTTACATAGTACAAGAAAAGAAAATACAATAATTGAAATTAAACAGCATTATTTAAAACTCGTAAAAGAAATACAAATGTATATGGACTAGATTTTCAACTATTAATCACAACATCAAAGTGGAACCCAGTTGAATTGTCTAAAAATATAGAATAGTCACTTAACTTATTAAGCCGTAAACTGCATGGGTAAATCATCCATTTTGTTTTCTCTCCATATTTGCTGTATACTTAAATATCTACTTCCATAAATGAAGCACATCCAATTATCTCCGCATCAGTTGCCCATGTTGCATCTTCAAGCATCCTAGTTTTACAAATATGCGTTTGAATTGGCATACTCAAATATCCAGTCATTTCATTATGTATTTGGTTACACATATGGTTAACAACCTTGTCTCTAATTTGCTTATGCTCATCCTCACTTCCTGTTATGATAAAAGAAACTGCTCTAAAAAAGCAGTTTCCATCTCCTTTACTTCTATGGAGTCCCTGAGGACAAAGAGTTAGGTTTATGTTTCCTACGGCGACATTGTGTTTCCAAACAATTTCAAACTTTTCTGCAATTAATTTTCTCATTTCAAAAGTTGCACACTTTGCTATTTCTTTGTCCAAAACATTTACACAGCTTTCATGTTGAGTATATATATATATATATGACTTGCTTGATTCAACGTCTTTGATAACTGGTTCAATTTTGATATCATTATCATTTGATAATTTGTTAACTTCTTCTATTTGAATGCTTCCATTACTAAGAGTTTTTTCTTTGTACAAGGACAAACTTGTTAGATTGTACTTTTTTTTCAATATTACATTTTTTTCATTTTTTAAACTACAGTTATTAGTACTTGAAATATTAGTAACCGTGTATGGTCCTATCCATGGCTTAACAAGCTTTCCAACTTTTCTGTCATCACGTTTATGATTTCACAATAAAACTTTTGTTCCTATAGCAATACTATTCTTTGGGTTAACTCTTTTGTCATAGTCGCGTTTTTGCCTTACTTGTGACTTTTGGATGTTTTCGTAAGCTTCATCGAAAATACACTTCTTCATTTCATTCATTTTATTGAATGTTTCCAAAATTGCTTTTTTGTTTTGGGAATCGTCTTCAATCAGAGTAGCATTATCATTATAGTCAATTAGCTTCTGATCTATATCAATCGGCAGAACAGGTTCTCTTTGATAAAGTAATTCAAAGGGTGAAAATCCAGTTGATTTGTGTTTTCTAATTCGCATTGAAAATAAAACACCGTCAATAATAAATGGCCATTCAAGAGCAGCATCTTCTAGCACCTTTACCAATGTTCGTTTTATTGACTGATTTTGACGTTTTACTAAACCGTTTGCTTGTGGATGGTATGCACTCGTCATGCGTTGGCGAGTCCCAGTTTTTCTGTGAAGTTCATTTGAAAGCTCATTTACAAATTCACGGCCTTGATCGTTAATCTGTATTTCAAAACACCCGTGTCTACATATTTGTTTATACAGGAATATTGCAACAGATTTTGCTGTTTTATCAAAAAAAGGTTCAGCTTCTACCCATTTGCTGAAATAATCAACTAGTTCTATCACATATTTATATCCATTTACTTCTGGGAGTTGAGTCAAATCAATCCCAACCTGTTTCATATTACCTTTTGGAATCGATATGCTTTGTAACAATGGTTTAACTTGAAGTTTCTTGTTTTTTGCTTTTTGTCACAATTATCACTTTCTGAAACATAGGCTGTAATGTCTTTTATCATAACAAACCAAAAAAATCTCTTTTTAATATGCTCTGTTGTTGAATTGATG